GCACCCAGCCCGATGACATGTCCTTCTGACAGGACATGTAACCGTTAGCAGCGAGCCTCATGACTCCCTTGCTATCAGGCCGTCCATTCTTGGCGACGGCAGCCCAAATAATCTTTCGGATATCGTCATTCCCAATCTTGGCAGTAGTCCTCCAGCCCCCCCCGGTTCTCCACGCCAAAGGCGCAGGTCCCGTACGTCTTGAGCGTCTTTTGAGTCCTGGATCCCGCGTACCAGGTGTGGCCGCCGGGAATCTCATCAGCGAGCTTGTTGCAGTCGTCGACCGTGGGGGAGGCGTCGCTGGTTTCGTTGACATCGGCGACCGTCTCGTTTTCGCAATCGTTGATCAACGCCGAGAGGGTTGAGGCGTTGCGGCTCGCGGTGAAGTGCTCGAGTGTCACAGGCGGCACAGATTCGAACTCCGGACCGTCATAATCGCCCCTCCTGGAGGCTGATGTCGGGCTATAGTTGTCATGGTTCGCTGAAGAGTTCACGACGTTAAGCTCTGCAATGCAGTTCCCGTTGGTGTCTTGGGCGCAAATAGCAGGTGCGCCTTGAGAAAGAGTCAAAAACCCAGCGAGAGCCAAAGCGACGTGGTGGATGGTTTTCATATTCGTGGTCGAGTATGTGATTTCCGATTTGAGACTCTTAGAGTAGCTAAGGTAGGCAGTTATTTTCCAATGCTAATGATTTCGAGTAATCAAGTGAACGATGAGGACCAGAAGCCAAGTGAATGAATGGTAAATACTCAATATATAGGCATGAGAACTCTCTGCAAGTACAAGTACGAGACAATGAGATAGCTGTGAACGGCGTGGCGGAGGTGAGAAGCCTGAGGCACCCTCTTATCTCAGGTATGACTGTATCACGGTTTTGCCGTAGATAGGAAAGAGGCCAAGGTTTTGTCTGCAAGCCTGTAAGGCAGCGTATGATAGGTATCTTGTTTGTACCTACCACCGGCTTCGATTTTGTGTTGCAGCAGGTTGATGACGCTATAGAGTCAAGTACGGAGTCAAAATCGCCCATATTCGAAAGATTCCCCCAGGGTCCATCTCGTCGCTTCTGCTGTTTAACGTCTCGGACGGCAACATTCTTTTTTCCCCCTCAGCGTCGGTCTGTTCCCATTTCGGTATCGAATTGGTCCACACACGAGAACACATCATTGCACGGCATCAACGAGTTGGCTGGGATACTGTAGTCATGGTAAAGGCGTCCTCCGGCGGCACCCTTCGTTGATCTGTTGTCGTGGCTGAGCCAAAGGCCCAAATGCCATGATATCTCCGTTGGGGGGTAAAGAAAAAAAAAGGATAGTTTCAACAGATACCCGCCATCTTGTTTCGCTTGCTTTTGATCCTTGTCTGGTGGGAAAATTTGTGGGAAGAGCAGCTTTTAGGTCGGGGTCCGGTGAGACACGACACACTCTCGGTAATGCCACACCCCAGTCAAGCGCAGCGTTGGAAAGGGAAACCCAATAAAATAAGCTTTCTAATTTCCAAAATAAGATGTCAATCAATTTACGTCACTTGGGTTCTGACAGCCGTAGTTTTCGAGTAGTTTTTCACATCGGAAGGGGGGGGGGAAGTCGAACAAAAAAAACCAAAATTTTTTTTTTAAAAAAAAAAAATTCGAACAGTATTGAACCATCAGTCAATAATTGATCACACAAGAAAAACCCCTGGATGCATTTCAACAACGGCCGAGAGAGCGAGGACGTCGATACGGGCTCGGGAGTTCCGCCCCCACGGAACCAGAGAGCCGGAGCTAAGGTGCCGAGTTTACCGTTGAAGAAACGGCTTGCTCGGACGCGAGCGAAAGAGAGATGGAACTTTCTGTCTGATCAATTGGCTTCCACGAATCCACAGTGACGCATTCCCGTCGCTTCGGTTGCATTTGCCGAAGGCCAAACAAATTTTTTAAACCACGCATTAGAGTGCCATCCGCACCGTCGTGTGCCTGGAAATCTATCCAAACATGTTGGCTGCAGCTTCCAAGGAAGAGCTATCCTCTGCCGGGAAATGGCGCGGTCCCGAATTAGCAGCTCTGATTGGAAACGATAAGGACGCGTTCATGCGAGGCGGGAATTGCAGAAACCCAGATCACGTTGCAGATTCAGGGGCTTCCCCAGAAAAGTGGCTCGTGCTCCAGCGCACCATGCCGCAAACGGCCTAGTTGCCAGGAGCGCCAGGTTCAGCCAAGTGCTTGCGCAGTCTGCGGCAGGCGGGCCTGCGCCCCTTTTAACCCATGCCAATCTTAATCTTCTTTTTCCTGGGCATCTTCATCAGGTGGTTGTCACTGCCGTTCAGCTTGCCGGTGACCGCCCTGACATCTTCTATCTTCATCCCGCCGTCGACGGACACTTCGACACCACTCCTTCTCCAACACACAACAACCACATTCTTTTTTTTAACAAACCAATCGCTTTTTGCAAGTTCCATCTTGCTTTCCGAGCCGGGACACTCTCTAATTGTCCCATCCCACCAATCCGAATCGTTTTATTTCGCAAACGACGTTTTGCGCGCGTTTTTATTTTAAAACAGCTTGATCCCACAGCGAAACATCATCTCGACCCTCTGAACCGCCAGGCGAGACCCGATATGCAGCTCTAGCCAGTTCAAGTCCCTCCTAAAATAAACTCGCGTCAAATTCCGCCCACGGCCTTCGACCTCCTTCGAAACCCCAAAGGCTGCTGGCTGAGCCACTCCACCACAATCATTAGGTTTTTCGTCTTCGGACGCACCGACAAACAATGCGACTCCCACAGTCGCTCAAGCCATCAGCCCTCGCGCTGTTGGCTGGCGCCTTCCTCGCCGGTAATGTCGCCGCTCAGGTTTCGACGGATTGTTTTCCCATGGCGAAGGAGTGCCCCCCCGATCCGGCCTTGGGCATGGACACGTCCTTCAATTTCAACGTGACGCCCAGCTACGAGCTCTGGGAAACCACGGTCGGTCCCGTCACTTACGACCAAGAGACCGGCGCCGCCTTCACGGTCGCGAAGCAGAAGGATTCCCCGACAATCCGCTCCAAATTCTACTTTTTCTGGGGCCGCGCCGAAATCTGGATGAAGGCCGCCAAGGGCACCGGCATCATCAGCTCCATGATGTTTCTGAGCGACAACCTGGACGAGATCGACTGGGAGTTCTTTGGAGGAAACGACACCATCGCTCAGAGCAACTACTTTGGCAAGAACTCGTCGAGCTTCGTCAACGCCGGTTACCATCCCGTCCAGGGCGGCATCCACGAGGATTACCACAACTACACCATTGAGTGGACCAAGGACTTCCTCGACTTTTACGTCGACGGCAACAAGGTCCGCACCCTGCTCCCGGGGGACGCCGACGGCGGACGCCTGTATCCTCAGACCCCCATGCGCCTGTTTATCGGCATTTGGGCCGGCGGTGACCCCGATTTGCCGCCCGGAACCAGAGAGTGGGCTGGTGGTACCACCGACTACTCGCAGGGCCCCTACACCATGTACGTCAAGAGCGTGGAAGTGGAGGATTACAGCACCGGAAAAGAATACGTGTATACCGACAGGTCCGGCTCTTGGGAGAGCATCAAGATCGTTGAGTAAGTTGGCCTCGCATGCTTCGGTCGGTCATGTGCAAACTAACATTGGGTGCCCAGGGGAAACTCGACCGCCAGTGTGGCCTACAACAAGCCGCCCAAAAAGACTCTGGCGCAGAAGTGGAACGAACTTCCCAACACTGCAAAGATTGCTGTCTACGCCAGCGGCGCTGGTGTTGGTGGCATCCTGCTCGTGGTTGGCATGTTCTACTGCATTCGTCAACGCCGCCGCGGCGCCGCCGAGGCAAAGGCCAATCTCGCCCGCGCTGAGCAGGATCGTGTCGAGCTTGCGGGCTTCAAGAGACCCGGATCCAGCGGCGGCACCGAGTACAAGTCCCAAATATCGAGCGGTGACGGTGCCGCCGGCGGGTCCACCTCTTCCAACTCGGTAGGGTCCCCCATCAACGAGAAGTTTGGCGCAGCTGGGTACGCCGCCGTCGGTGCAGCCGGGGCCGCCGCGGTTGCCCGTGCTCCGGACAGCCCCGGAGGCCCGGGAAGTCCCAAAGCCAACGAACCCCTCCTCCGCAACGGACCTCCATCGCCCGGCTTTCCTCCCGGGCAGGCTCCTTTTGGTGAAGCTCTCCGATCTCCAACCGCCGCCATGTTCGGCCAATCCATGTCTCCTCCCCCGCTTCAACCACTCCCGCACCCTCCGAATCGCGCCATGACAAACCCCGGCACGGCGGGCGCAGCCGGTTCAGCGCACGGGTTCGACTTTGGTATTCCCCAGAGGTCAGCCACCATCAACCCAGCACCAACTGCCAGCGGATACGGTAACCCCCCTGGCCCTCAACCACAGTACGGGAACGGCGAAGATCAAGCGTACTGGGACGCAATGAAAGGAGGAAACCGGAATAGCGGCGGTGGCGGTCTCCTGTAAAAAGAAAGAGAGGAAGGAGTTTTCTTTTTTTTGGATCTCGGCGAATTTTCTGCTTTGAACCTGGGTTGGGTTGATGATTTTTCTGTGGTTTTCTATTTTTCTATCTGGTCCAGATTTTTCCCCGTCATTTGCTTTGCATTTTTCTCACACATATATATATATCATAGCATGATGCATCTGGCGCGCGATGATATCCCTCTGCCCCATCTTTCCTCGTCCGCCTCCAACACCTTGCTGGCGCCGAGTTTTCCTGAAAAAATTAGATCAATATATAGACTACGTATCTACCTACTCTATATCTGCCTAGCTCTTGGAAGTTTAGGGCTTTTTTTGTAAAACCCCAACTACCATGTTGCCTATAACTGCTCACTACAAATTTTATACCATTTTAGTTTTCTTGATTTACTTTTCCGTTTGGTGATTACTGCTTTTATTGACGGTGCGCAGAAAGCAGGTAATGATGGGCGTGTGGTTTCAACTTCGGCAAGACATGCTTCAGGAGTATGAGAGATATTTGTATACACTTTCGAACCCTCAACTCCAACGGTTTACAATATCAGGGCGTGTGGCTCAGTTGGTAGAGCGCCCGCTTAGCATGTCCAGCTCTTGCGGAAGGTCCCCGGTTCGATTCCGGGCTCGTCCAATTTTTACATCCGCTTTTGACGAAGAGACAGGGTCTATTTTTCTTTTTTTCAGGGGAGGGTCTTTTTTTTCTCCTATCTTTTCACCATTTCGTCTTGCTCTACATAACTTTTGATTACTGTGCTAATTTAAAAACCCGAGATTGAGTTACTAAAGGGCTACATACAGAACAAAACCGCACATTTAAAACCTCTAATGAGCACATAATATAAAAATATACTTTATCTTATCTTTGTTATTTTCTTGGACAAAAAATATTCTGTACTTGATTAGCTCGTGTTTGTTGATAATTAGGGATTACCCCAGCCAAGGATCAAAGAAATTTAAAAACCGAACCCGACGTTTTGGAGAGAGAAGGGGGGGGGGGGCGCGAGGGATCCCTTCTCCCCACCTACCTACTTACTTTCTGCAACCAAGCGGGGCAATTTTTGTTGACGTTTCCATCATTCATCAAACAAACAACAACACGAACCCCTTCCCGTCCCCCCCCCCCTCCTCCCCAAATTCTCCAACAGCCAAATTTGACACTCTCCATAATTTTTAATTTTTTTTTTTCTTTAAAAAAAAATTACCGAGCTTTTCCACAAAATTACAACAAATGTCTAGCAACCCCACCTACGGGGACTGCGTGTCCTGCCTCCGGACCTCTCTTTCATTTCTCGAGTCTTCAGTTCAGACGTTGGATCAGGGCGTTCAGGATTTCCCCAGGATAACGAACCTGTTAAAGACGGTCAGGGTAAGTCACGTCACGTCACGTCTCTTGTCATATTTTCTTTCTCGCTCTCTCCTGTCCCCCCGTTGAAACCTCCTACCCCACTCCTTCCACTCATTCCACTCCACTTCCTTCTTGAACCCCCCTCCCTCCCCCTTGCCTTTTTTTTTTTTTTTTTTTTTTTTAACTTTACAGCTTTCTATTTTTTGGAGGGGAGGGGGGGGGGGGTTTGATAGTTATTTTTTTTTTAAAATGAAAAGTTGGAAGAACTAAATATTCTAACCACATATATATATATATATATATGTAATAACAGCACTACGAGTTAATCCCCCAACCGACCCTCCAGGCGGCCGAGTCCTCCCTCAGGGACGAGATCGGCCCGTTTATAAGCCTGCTGCTGGACCGCGCCGACAAGAACCTCGAGCGGCAGGGCAGGAGGATCGAGACGCTAAAGGCGAGGTCGGAGCTCAACAAGGGGAGGCTGGACAGTTATCGGCGGGGGGGTGATGATGATGAGAAGGTAGGAAGAGGGGGAGGTTCGTTGGCGAGAGAGAAAAAGGGAGCAGATTTGAATGGGAATGGAAATGGTAGCAAGGGTGAGAAAAAACTGGACGCTCAGCAGGCTTTGAGGTTGCAGGTCATGAAGCAGAGGAAGGAGGCGCTAAAGTATAGTGTTGAGCGGTTGGAGATGGAGGTTAGGGAGAGGGAGAGGGAGCTGAGGGGGAGGTTGGAGAGGGGGGGTTAAGTGAGAATGGGGGAGTGAAGAAAGGTGGGTGGGGAGGGCAGGGGGAAACTAGTAAAACATTGAATTAAGGTAGGGTTGAGGTTGAGGTTGAGGTTGAGGTTGTGGTTGTGGTTCGGAAATACCAGGGGATTGTGCGGTCCCTGGGAATGGAAAGGAACATGGTTTTAATTTAGTGGAGGAAAAACAGCATCCCCGAAACAACGAGATCATGAAAAAAGATTTTTTTTTTTAAAAAAAAAATTCGTCGTGATTAGGTAGCTTTTCTACTTTGAGGAGCCTCTATGATGGGAACGACATTAAAAATTATTTTGCTTTCCCATTTTTTTTCCCCTCCCATGGTATGTACATCAGCATTTGAGAGTTCACGAAAAGTTGACATCAGTCTCGGAGACTGAGAGGGTCGAACTTGGCGTGGAGGCTGAGTGAACCCTTAATATCAACAACTCACATGACCAACGCGGGGAAGGTTTTTATGTATGTCAGCGCAGTACATCTGCCCAAATCGGAAGAAAAGAAATTGTATTTTATTTTTGTCGGAGCAGTGGTTTTTGGTGCAGTCAGTGGCATCAGCCAACGTGGAGACATTCATGGCCTTTACATACACGCGGAATGAGTGTACATACATACATACCTAGAAAGGAGCGAGTAATCTGTAGGCGAATAACTTATTGTTTGGCTGCGTTGTTATCTTTTGGTTTGTACAGCAAACATTTATTGCAACAACTTGGAGCGCGCACACACACACACACACACACATGGTTCGTGAGCAAGCAACACGTGGGTTGTCATTTGTGTTCAGTTCTTCTCGTCCGGCCTCTGGTTTACCCCTTTCTAATATTTAGCTTGTAAGGTGTACAAAGGTTGTCCACCACCTCACATGGCATAAACTACCTACCTGGCTTACTACTTATGCTGAATATGGGAGCACTCTATTTTTCGCGTTGTCCCTGAGTCAGCCTTTTTAGCCTCCCAGGCGCACCACGTGGTTTTCTGCTTTGAACCGCTTTAAACTTGCAAAGCGCTGATGGGATGGATCCATCCATCATATAACACGACAAAGTTCATGTAGAAAAGTCCTGTTTTTGAAATCATACTCTAAAACATCCATACTTATTGCTTTTCTACATAGGTGTTGACTCTTGGCTAGGCAACTTGTCAAGACATACGAGAGAACAAGTCATGGATTTGTTGCACAAATCTCTTCACTTTTTAACATACGGTAGAAGAATGTTTTGCTTGGAACACAGTTTTGGGTCGAAGAAAAAACAATAAACAAGAAAAAGGAACTTAATTGTTTTGATTGGTCATCACAGAAATGGTTAAGCTAAGACATAAGAAAAAAAAAGGTGTGATAAAAAAAAACAACACAACGAAGAAGACAAGAAGATATATAAACCACACAGCGCAAAACGGCCCGCACCCCACAAAAGAAGAACAACCAAAAGCTTCCTTTGCTTTGGATATAAAACACACACACACATACACACGCACACAAACGCCTTCCATCACTCCAAAGGGGGAAAACCCCCCAATCCCAAACCAAATGATTCAAGGACTCATCAGACCCAAAGCACCAAAGCCCGCCATGCCCCCTACCAAGTTTTTTCGTTCCTTCCTCGACTTTTGCTCAGATTTTCGTAAATGGTTCCCACCATTAACGCTCAACTCGCACTGGAGACTCGCCGAACGGTTGGGGCGAAATGATATGCGTGTTAACCGTAGAGAGTTCGCGCCTTCTTCCATACTGAATCCAACGCATCCAAGGCGCATCTGAAACCCCTTCCCAAGAAAAAAGGAGCAGCCAAGGTGGAAATGAAAAAAACGGCATATGAGTGCCGGCCGATGGTGTGTGAGTGCTCGTTGATGGCACAAACTATTTTCTTTGTTGTGTGCCAGTGTTGACAAAAGGCGAGCGGGAAATGGCGGGCGGCTCGGGCCGGTCTTTGTCCTCTCCGACCGACTTGATGTGTACTTGGAGGAGAGGACAAATTACTTTCCTCCATATTCCCCCCTGCCAGATTTCCCCAAGCTTTACTCTGTCGGTATGGGGAAGGATATGTGCTGTCCTGTCCAGTGATGTAGTAGGGTATAAATTTTGGTTCAAAGGCCCGGCGTCGGTGCCTGAACAGTACAAGAAGAAAAGAAAAAAAAGAGACAAATAAAACAAAAATCATCCACATCAGTAAACAAATACTGTGTTACCCAGTCATGTCTTTTTATGGTGTTGTGTGTATGTTGTGTGTTGTTTTCGTTGCTGCCGATACCGCCCAGTTTTTCTTGACCAGGTGCAATACTCCCAGAACTCTGAACACAGAGAAAGAAGAAAAAAAAAAAACGGCAAAACCAAAAAAAGAAATCCCCGTTACGCCCTGTCCCTCATGTTGGACTATAATAGGATGAGGTAGTTGCTTGGTGCGATACCAGTCTCACCGTTCTCCTTCCTTGCTTGCCACCACCTTCCGCTGACGTCGCTGACTTCCAAAATCTCGTGCTTCGAGAATGAAATCTCATTCGCGTCTTCTGGGTTGGCCTCGTAGCTGTATATCGCCTTGGCGCGGTAAGGATACTCGGTGGGAGGCACTATCTCAGCATCGGAGGACCCTGGTACGGTTGGTCCCGACTTGGGTCCCATGTTAGAGTTGAACTGGTTTCCGATGGAAGAGTTGCGCATCGCCGACCCCATGCCGCCAACCGGTGATGGGTTCTCCAGGCCGTTAAGCTGAGCGGTGTACATCTGAGGTGGCTGCACCGAGGTCGAGGTCTCGGGCCGACCGATGCCATATCCGCCGCTCATGGTCTGCCTGTTCGTTGAAGATTCTTTGGCGAGTGCGAACGAGTCAATGTACGCGCGAGGCGTGGCCGATGGGGCGGATCCAAAGTAGAAGATCCAGACAATCTGACATCCAAACGTTAGCTTGGTTCTGCCTGGTGGGGACTAATGAGATGAAGGGTGGGGACTCCCCACAACTCATTGAAACACAAACAGCCGGGAAAACATACCGTGACCATGGCGAGCAGAATGAAGCCGGCGGCCGCTGCTTCCTGGGCGCCATTGTTGGCATAGATGAGTCCGTTGACCGAAGAGGTGGAGAGGATCAGGCCACAGCCGAGATATCCAACAATCGCAACGTTGTATGTTTGTACGCTATCCGAGGCGATGACGACAAAAACACCTAGAATGACGAAAAAGTAGAAGACTACTCCCCACCATGTATACAACGGGAAACCGCCCTTGGCTTGAATGTGGGCAAACACTGAGCCGAAAAATGCGATAAGCCATGCAAGCTAAAAAAAGGTGTGAATGTCAGCATAATCTTTCAGCGCCAAAAAAAGGGGGGGGGAGAGAGGGCTGAAAGGCCGCGGCAACAAGCAGACTTACAAAGGCGATGGAGGTTGTTGCGAGCGCAAAGGGATCACCGATGATGTTCCCAAGGCTGAATCGTTTGCGACCATAACCCATTCTGGATTGTTCCATTTTCCTAAGCGACGGCGAATGTAATGAGCCGTAAGATGGCATAAGGCTCACGAACCAGCAGTCGAG